GTTTCTCTTCAGGTTTCCTAAGAGTGATTCTGAGATCTCCCAGCAAGGTGACCTGAGTCAGCACAGGCAGCCATATAAACTACCTATGTTGATGTGTCATGTTGAGTTAGATAAGTAAATAGATGAAAAATATATAGGTAGATTATTCTTTGAGTGGAAAAACAGATTAAACAGAGAGACAAGCAAGCCAACACTTTTTTTTTTAATTTTAGTTTTGATTTATTACTATTGTGTTCCTTGGAAATAGTCTAGACTCTAGATGGTCCCATAGAGTCCTATAAACTCCAAGCTAGTAATTTCAATTCTTAACTCATCCACCAAGGGGCTTAAAATAAAGAGCTTCCATATCCTGTTATTTGGAATTCGTAAAAATTATCTTAGAACAATGACTGAAGGTTAATTCAGTGTGGATAAGGGCTCCCTAGAGATTATGGCTGAAATGGTCTTTCAGTTGTTATGGCAGCAGATGAGAATGACAAAGCACAATATTTCCAATAGAAATGACCATGAATTTTACCCATCTCAGACGTTATTGGAATTGAGGTCCCCGTCATAGAAGGAAGATCACATATCCTATAGCAAGATTAGAAAAAAAAAAGAGCCACAAAAGATGTAACCAAGAAGCTTATTGCTCTCCACATCTGCAAAAGAATTTAATCCTTTTCTTCTTAGAAGAAGACCTTATCATCCAAATGTAGATTACATTTTAAAAGTAAAAGAAAGACAAAGGAAACATTTAGGATGTTATTCTCATTTAATATTATTAACTAAAATGTTTCATAATAGTGGGTAAATAAAATAGCTCTAATCCCATTTTAAATCCAAATTTCCAAAGTTAAAATTAGATCACTATCATTTAGTGATTTAGATTCGAAGTTGTAAGATATTTTAATAAATTTGAACTTGTGGTCACTGTCTATTGATCCTGCTGGATAAACTATTATTTTTTTTAATTAAAGAAAATAGCATCTTCTTCACTTTGAAAAGGAAAAGTAAAAGAAATCCTAAAAGATTGAAAAGCCTTCCTTTAATGCTTTGTGATGTGGAATTTCCCTCTGTATGCTGTGATTACCATTAATGAATAAAGAAACTGCTATGGACCTATAGCAGGGCAGAACTTAGGTAGACAGGAAAATCTAAACTGAATGCTGGGAGAAAGAAGGGCGGAGTCAGAGAGAAGCCATGGAGTTACTGCCAGAGTCAGACATGCTGAAACTTTGCTGGTAAGCCACTGCCACATGGTGACACACAGATTAATGGAGATGGGTTTAACTAATATGTAAGAGTTAGGCAATAAGAAGCTAGAGCTAATGGGACAAGTAGTGATTTAAATAATATGGTTTCTGTGTGATTATTTAGGGTCTAAGCTAGCTGGGCATCTGGGAAGAATAAGCAGCCTCCTCCAACAGCTTTAGATTTTTTCCCCCTTTTATTGACATCTGTCCCAGAAGGAAGCTTCTCTAAAGATGCTGGAAAAGACACTGGTCTATGAGTATAACAGAATGTTTTATCAGAGTTTTCTTTTCTTTTCTGTGTTCTTTGTATTTGATTTTACACTAGTCCCTGGGCTATCTAATCTCAGGCTCTTGATTTTCCAAGCAGCTTTGCAAAAAATAATTTCTACAAATATCTAATATTGGCTTGAAATTTCAGAATATGATTCACCAAAACTATCACCAGTTTCCTTCTCATGGTGTACCCATATGGTTTATATTTTTAAAAGTAGACAGTCAAGTACCTAGGAAATATTATTAGTAGAGCATTTTACTTTTCAAGTAAAAAATGATGCACAACTACACAAAATAAGAAAAATAAAACCTAGCTCAGTTTGTCTCTAAATCAACTAGTGCTGTTCCTTGAAAGAAACCTTATGTTACAGTATGTAGTTGAGTGTTGTATGGATACAGGCTTGCCACTTTGCCACAGTGATTACACAGATATTTACATAAGGATCAGACTGTAGTAGGTTAGTACTTGTTACAAATCCAAAGATCAAGAACACTTTTGTAAATACCATAAGGTATTTACTACTTCATCAAACACGGGCATAGTTAAATTAAAATGACATTCTTTACCAAGGAATATGGCACTTAGAAACACAGACACTTCCAGCAGAAACTAGTGCTACTGCCTATATTTTGTAAAAGCATTACACACCACTGTTTCAATATGGGGAAAATATTAGAACAATGAAGACTACAAATATTATGTCATTGTGACCATGAAAGTGTTTTGGGCCTTGTGAATTTTATGACAGGGTCTGACAGGTGTCATGTTTATAAAGCACTATTTTGTGAAGTCACTTCATTTCTCAAAAGATACTAACTCGTAATTTTACTTACAGGTATTTTTAAAAAGTCAACTTTTCAACTCAGAATTTAACCCAAATCAAACATGTATAGATTTGTCCATTTCAAATGCTTCTTTACATGAACTAGATCTAAATGAAAACTGTTATTACTAGTATCAACTATAAACCATGGGTATTTTCAGTTTATTTCAAATAAATTTGCTTTTACTTTATCCTGAAGTTCTTTTTCTTTTGTATTCTTCATTTGGAGCCATTGGCTATTTACAAGGTTCAACTCAAATGAAGCAGAATGAACTACCCAGAGTTGATACTCAATAAATATTGTTAAAAAGCAAGATTTGAGATATCCATCTGCAGACTGCACCATAATCATCAAATGAAATTATTGGTCAAGTTGGGGTTAATACCTTTGTTCCATATGTAAATTATGTTTTCATTGTGATATTATTATGCAATACAAAAAAATAGATGTATCACCTTGCTCTCATTACCCAATCTGTTTTTCTTAATATCCTTAAGCTTCTATAAATATGTGTGAGTCAAAAGAATAGAATATTAAAACAGTGAACTTTGAAGAAAATTTATTACAGTATTTGAAGGTGTACTGAGGCAATAATGCCATTAAGTTTCCTTTGCTGCCCATTGAGTTACTCAGAATAAAGGAAATGCTCGTTAAACATGTGGTCATCTCTTTATTTACCTTTGACTTTCAAGCTTAAACCTCCTGTGAGTTATAAATACAATAATATGGCTGTAAAATGTGCATTCATTGACCACTTCATGTGAATAGTTCTCCACCACAATAACAAGTTATATGTGCTCATATAAACTGGATGAGAGAAAAATTAGAGCTTAGTTACTATGGAAATTCAGACTGCTAGGTTCTGTTTCCAGAAGATTTTACAAAGCCTTTATTATGTCAAAACTGAAAGAGGTTGTTCTTATACTTTCATTCATCTGTCTAAAGTGGTGCAAAAAAATCTCAAATATTTTGTTTTCTGTGATTCTTTATATGGCTTGTAAAACATATGTCTCATCTGGCAGCGGATAAAATTATTGCTTATCTTTCTGTTTTTAGATCATCATTTAGAAATATGCATCTGTGCTGTCTTTAGCAAGAGTGTGATCTATAATGTGCATATTAAAGGATTTATGAATAAGAGCAAATTATTCTGTCATTACCAATCCAATCATTATTAATTTCATGTCTCACTGACAGATATTCTAGGATAAATAAACCAATCATTAAGTCTAGAGCAGTGGTTCTCAACCTGTGGGTTGTGAAAACTCTGAGGTTGCATATCAGATACCCTGCATTTCATTTATGCATTACAATTCATAACAGCATGATTCAGTTGCAAAATTACAGTTATAAAGTAGCAATGAAAATAATTTTATGGTTGAGGTCATTACAACATGAGGAACCATAATAAAGGGCTGTAGAATTAGGAAGATTGAAAACCACTGGTCTGGAGAATAATCTTGTAGTTACATATCTATTTTTGAACCAAAACTCAGACATGGTGGCCTTCAATCTGGATGGCCTTGCAGACACTACCAAATATTTCTAGCTTCATAATGAACTGAAATATGGAACACCGATGGTGCCGGCGACAACTTGTTAGCTAAATCCTAAACCATCTATGGATATTTGGTCACAGACACTGTTGTCACTACCGTCTCATCTACCCATACTCCTCTACTAAGCATGTCCAGTTGCCTCTACAATTGGACCAGATTACATTCTGTCTGGAAGATTCTGAAAGAGAAGGGATAATGGTGAGCTCCTCTCTTACCCATTGTTTAACCCATCCACAAAAGCTGTGCCAAATCACTGCATGAAAGTTGCTACAAACTCCTCTGTACACAGTTCCATAAAAAGGAATAATTTACCAGTTTAACCAATTGACTTAATTCAGGGGCCACATCATGTTTCCTTTCTTTTTCTAAGTCTGTAGAATTATCTGGTCCCAATAATCATAGTCCTGTTCTCATTCACTTAAACTCCTCCACCACTATAACTCAGAAGCATAGATTTCCATAATTTTCCATTCAACTGGGAAATTCTTCTTATATTAAGCCCCTCCAAAGAGAAATCTGATATTTTAACTTAATAAAGACTTACGACTTATTGAAAAACTCATTTGTAAGTCTATGCTGAACTCATAACCACCATGTCAAACTACTCCATGCATATTTTTTATCGAATAGAACAAGCTTGCATTTTCAGATCATTTTGTCCATCTTGGGACTGGGGACCCAGAAGCAGATTATATAAGCGGAGATGATTAAAGCAAGTAAGGTATCAGGCATTAATACTTTTCCCAGAGATATTTAAGCTTTAATTCATTTTCTAACCAGGGACTATTTGGCTTTATTTAGTAGTGCTGGAAATTAAGGTAGTGGAATAATGTCAAAAATTGCTGAATTAACCCAAGAGCTTTCCATTCCTATGAAAGAATAAATACTACCTTCCATGTAGTGCATGCTCTTCCAAGTCTACTTCATTCTCTTACTTTACTGATGAAAGATTTTTGTGAAATGGAATCAGGAGATGCACTATTCAGAAGGTAGACTCTAGACCTAAATGATCTTCTCATTCCATGTGATGACTATACAGAAAAGTTCTTATTGCTTCTATTTTAATATCTTCCTTTGATATAAACATTTCTATAACATTTTTCTCTAGTTGGGTACACAATGAATGATCTCATTTTTGAATGGCAAGATGAGGCACCAGTACAAGTGGCTGAAGGACTCACTTTGCCTCAATTCCTATTGAAAGAAGAAAAAGATTTGCGATACTGCACTAAACACTACAATACAGGTAGGGAGTGAATATTTTCCTCTATGATTGTGATTTGTGATCTTACAATATACAGATTATTAAAATTGTAATGTCATGTTAATTTTAACAGTCTTAGCTTATAGAGTATAAAATGGGCAATTTCAAAATTTATGGGTGCCTTCACTTACTTATTCTTGTCTTATTTGATTTGTATGAGACCAAAGATATGCTTGGTGCTTAGTTACACTTGAAAATTTTTTATGGAACAACACATTTGTGGGTAATGTGATGCTTATAAACATATTTCCTTATTTATATGGAAAAATATTAAACTATTTTGGAAGTAAACACTGCATATGTTAACAAAGGGACTTGCTTTAAATAAATGACATCATTTTCCATATTTTCATGCATTATAAAACATATTTTTCTATTTATTTTAATATTGTTATGAATTCATATTTTCAGTTACTTTTTGGACTGATAGAGGAACCTTATGTCTTGAGTAGATATCATTTTTAACAATTAACACCAAGGATTAAGAAACTCAATGTGTTATTTGTGCCCTTATGAAATCTATGCCCTTCTCCTAACTGTTGTGGGCTATTCCCATAAGCCTACCCCAACTACAAATGCCATTAAACTACCCACAAGTCAAGCTTGCCCCCGATGAGATGCATATATGGTTGGATGCTATTATGCTAACATCAGCTGTAACTCTTACCATATCATTATGGTAAAGTATGATTCATTGTGACCTCAACATTTTCCATAATTGTGAGCTTTGTTTTCTTCCTATAAAGTCCCCAACCTTCCTTATTTCCTTAACTGACTTACAATATCTAATTTTCAATTACTCTTTTCGACTCATGGATGACTTATGAGCAAGTTCAAGTATAACATCTAAGCATAAACTAAAGAGCAGGCAAGTCAATGGCAATGCCTCTGCCCATTTCTCTAAGTACAGAGAAACTGATAATTTCTTTTAAAATATGTTGAAAAGAACTCTAATCATGGTATATAGCAATACCTTAGTTATCTAGGACAGTGTTCACAGACTACCATAAATTTGGTAATTTAAAGCAGCAGAATTGTATTGTCTCATAGCTCTAGAAGTTAATACAAAAAACAAATCAAGTAACAGCAAAACTTATGTTTACTCTGGAGGCTCTTACAAAGGTTCCTTTCCCAACCTTTTCTTGGTTTCCTATTTCTGACAACTCTGGGTATTGATTGACTCACAAATACACCACTTTAGTTTCTTTCTCCATAGTCACATGCTGATCTCTGCATACATCTGTGTCTCTGTAGCGAAATATTCCTCATCCTCTAAGGGCATCAATGATATTAGAGTAGGGTCCCATTAATAAAGATTTGATTTTAACTTGATTATATCTTCAAGTCAATTGTTGGTAAAGAAATTCACAGATTCTCCGAGGATGTGAATTTTGGAAAGACCCATTCAACACAGAACAACAGACAACCATGTAGACATCATCTCAGAGAGAAACTTGAGCATAGAAGGTCAGGAGACTCATCTTAGCTGATAGTACATTAACATAATTTTATATTTTAGCTTACATTTATGAGTGTTTACTTCACGCAATTAGTTGGATAGGAGTTTTTTAGAAGACATGGGTGTCTATTATTTGGATAATATAAGAGAAGAAAGTATGTCCAAAGTATCACTGCTCACAATTAAATAGAAACTTCTGGTAATGTCTTCATTCACATAGTGACTAACTGGTATCACACTTTAGACTTCTCTTATATTATTCCCCCAACATGCAAGATTCTTATCTTAATTGTTTTCTAGTGTAGGTTTATATACTGCATAAGTCAATCTGAAAATAAAAGAAAAAAGAATATGAAAACCATCCTCAGTTATAAATGCCCAGTTTTACAAGGAAATAAATCTATTGAAGTTATTAATTATTTCTATATAGATGAATTGTATAGTTGGGCTGTGCTTGGGGGTGATGGTACATGTTATTAATCCCAGCACTTGGTAGGCAAAGGCACAATGATCATCATGAGTTTGAGGCAACCTGGTTTAAATAGGAAGTTCCAGACCAGTCAGCAGTCACGTATATATAATGAGATTATAGAAAACAAAACCAAAAGCAACAACAATCACAACAACAAAGCCTAAATTGCACAAATCTACAAGTTTACCTACTTCAGGGTTCTGTGATCTATCCTATGTGAATTCCTCTAAAAGCTACTTTTTCCTCCTGCTTTTGCTTAGCATGTCCATCTTGTTATGTGTAAGTGATTGTTTCCTCTCCTCACTTTGGTCCAAATTTAATTTTTTCCCATCTTAACTTCATAAATTATGCATGTGTGCACAAACACAGAAATAATACATACATGACTATTTATCTGTGCATCTATGTACAATCATAATATTTGCCTATGTGTATCACTTCATTTTCCAGCCTAGGTATATTTATAAAGTGTTTTTAAATACACACTGAAAGCTTGTGTTTTTCATGGGAACCACATGAACCCTACAGAACTTACACAAATGATAAGTAATGAGTTCTACTTTTGTCAGGAAGTTACTTAATGGATTAATATTGATATAATAAAAGCACTTCAATTATTCTTTCTCTATTATTCTTTATAGTGAAAATTAAAATTTTATGGTTAATAGTGCTTTAAAAATCAAAATATTTTCAGATATTGCAATAATCTTTAATAGTTCCATTGATAACTTGACTGATGAATCATGTAGGTTTTCACATGGTTCTGAATGCCATACATTGAAAAGTGTACCCCACTGTCCCCGGGACTTGAAAACTACTATTAAGGTTTTAAAGTTCTGATGTCACTGCCCTTCACCTCCAAAAGCTGTACCCTTGCCTCATTTCCACCATTACTAATGTGCCCACCACATTAATAGGAGCTCTGCAAAGGAGACTCTCCTCAACACACACTAGAAGTTGCTCTAGTCATGCCCTTTGATATCTTCCCCCCGTGGTCATATCAGAGAATGATGCTTAAAGAGCAGATGAGCTTTCTGACATCATCCTGCTCAAAGTAACAGACAAGAAAACCAAGAATCGAATCACTTAAAAGGCCATTTATTTGAAGAACTTATAACAAAGCAGTAGCAATAAATGAGTAGAATTAGAACCAGTGGATAAGTAGACAAAATCCTATGATGCTCTCAAATATTCATTGCATTTATTTTCAGAAAGAGGTATATAACAGGGACATAGGGCATACAATACACAGTGAACGTAACTTTTTCAATGTGTTCTAAATTTATCTCAAAAGTTATTAATGCAAAATAATACAATTTAGTTTTTTGTAGTATCATTTATGAATCCACTTATTTTTGTGTTTATCACTTAGCACATAAAGTGTAAAGATCTCTGAAAAATAGCAGTTGACGAAACAAGCATATGAAAGCTCCAGAAACTCAAAATATAGATAACCTTTACATAATAAACACGCATTGCTCTATACACCTCAGAACAAGTGTTAGAATATGAAAAAACAGCTCTTTGAGTACTTTGACAAGCATGAAAAGCTATTTGATCATGAAAATAGGATTGCATACTATTTCCTAGATAAGAGTTCACTCCCTTGTCACATTGCTTTCAGATGAAAACAGAAACAAAATCTAAACTAAAAGACAAAACCCAGTTCGAATGTATCTCTTCAATTTGGTGGAAATTCTTATGGTAAAATTATTATGAAAATTAAGTCGTGTTTGATGGGATTATAAAACCTGACTTTTGTTTAATTGTTACATTTGTTTTATAAACCACTAGGAAAGTTTACATGCATAGAAGTGAGATTCCATCTTGAGCGGCAAATGGGCTACTACTTGATCCAGATGTATATTCCGAGCCTCCTGATTGTTATTCTGTCTTGGGTCTCATTCTGGATTAACATGGATGCCGCCCCAGCTAGAGTAGCTTTGGGCATCACCACTGTTCTTACTATGACCACACAGAGTTCTGGATCCCGGGCTTCCCTACCAAAGGTAAGTGTCCTGAGGACACATGCATGTAATGTGTACATAAAAATGCTGTTTTCAGCCAGGCAGTGGTGGCACACGCCATTAATCCCAGCACTCGGGAGGCACAGTCAGGTAAATCTCTGTGAGCTTGAGGACAATCTAGTCTAAAGAGCTAGTTCCAGGACAGGCTTGATAGCTACAGTGAAACCCTGTCTCGAAAAACCAAAAACCAAAACAAACAACAACAAAAATGTTGTCAGATTGCTCAAAAAAATTCAATATATTCATCATTGTTTTTTAAAACACTAAATCTTGCAAAGTAAGTTACTGAAGTAAAATATTCAATAAATCACTGATATCTGCTATGCACACAGTGTGTAATGGTTTCCTATTATTAAAATGTCAACACTCATCATACGCATCATGGAATTTTTGGTATCTGTATTTTAAACACTTAAAATATATTGTAAAATTATTTAAATTGATATACATAGCAATTTTAAATGTTGACATAATGCACACATATTTTCACATTTATACACATAGGTAACGTTTTCATATTATTTTAAACATATATTTAGAACAAAAACTGAGACATTGATATCTGTATGTGTTGGTAATGTATTACCAAATTGCTTCCAGAAAAACATTACAGTGGTTATTCTCCATCAAGAACTGTATCAGATTTCCATAGTGCCAGGTTCCCATTATCTTGTGCCCCTTTCTTCTAACTCCTAGGCAGCTGTAGGTCAATAGGAAAGAGTGCTTACCCAAGTCTATAATTTGAGTGCATTTGAATCACCCAAAACGAAGCCATTTGCTTTATAAGGTTTATAAAAGTTTTGATACTGCTCCCGATAAGATAAAATAAAAGATAAGTGTGAGGTTTTTTTCATCTATGAAACCAGATAGAAATAGAAAATTTTCTTCTTATAAGATGATTTCTAAGAAGTGCCTATTAACTAAAGTCGTGGTTTTTAACCTTCCTAATGCTGCAACTCTTTCGCATGGTTCTTCATGTTTTGGTCACCCACAAACATAAAGATATTTTGCTACTACTCCATAACTGTAATTTTGCTACTGCTATGGAACATAATATAAATATCTGATATGCAGAATACTGAGACTCCCAAAAGAGTTACTACCCGAAGGTTAAGAAGTTCTGAAGAAGTGCTGATCTAAAGAATCCCTTTAAATTTCCAACACATTTTAACTTAATATAACCAGAATTAATTCATAGAAAACACTAAAGGGACTGTGTTTATATTATACTTTTATAATTTACCTCTGGTAGCAGGTACAACATCAAATGTTCATGATAAGCTAATATTACTTTATTATGTTGAAGTTCATCATTTTAAGAACAATAATAGGTTATTGTGTTGGAAACAAATTTAATTTAGGACTTATAATAGCAGCAGATTATTAAATAGCAGGATGAAAAATACATCATTAATTTAGGATAACTGCTTAGTATTTGACATAAGCTCTATGCTAATACATCTCCAGTAAAATAAAAGAAGCTTGGAAATTCATCAAGGCTCAGAGAAAAGAATCTTAGACTATATTTAGGTAGTTCCTTGAGATTCCTCTCTGATAAAATCAATTGGATTGGCCTTTGTAATGCCACACTAAGTTAAACACAGCATACCCCAAAACAAGAAGGCACATGTGATCCATTCATTAGAATTTGGAACTATTTTTCACTTTGGCAGTACATACATCAGTTGGTCAAAAGAGGTGTCATGTGCATTCTATTGACAGCAAAGGTTCAAGATGGTTTACCTTTATAAGTGCTTCTTTGCACCATGGGATCATTGTAAATGAGCAAAAGAAAAATGTTAATGATTAAGGGATCAAGTCCTGCACAACATCATAGTTCATAATAATTAGATATATCAACCTGAAGAAATTTTAATGTGAGTGATCACTCTAACTCTGTATGAGCATGAGAAAGGAGGAGTCGAACTCTAAGTGGAAAGAACTCAGAGCCACTTAGAATAGCCCACTCTCCATTGTGGTCTACAGTAGCAGATGTTAGGATAGTAAATAGATCTGGAAAGTAGACTTGTTTGAGAATTTTAGAGGTAAAATGAGGTGTGCTTATGAATACACATTGCAGAGTCAAAAAAAGGCAGAAGTCCAGGGTAGACTACAGATGTGTGACAGGACAGTTGTTTCCAGCATAGGATGATGGAGGAGAGAGAAGCTTCAGGTTTATTTTTCACTTTGGTGCATTCGTTGGGCTGATACGTAGAACAGCCAAAGTCTAAGAGATCCAGAGCTTCTGGCCAGGAAATCTGGGCCTCTGATTTGTAAGAGTAAACTATAGAAATGGGAAAAAGCAAAATGAGTCTATGATTGGTCTTCTTCCTGCAGCTAAAGATTTAATCAAGTTATTCAAAGACTTCATTCTTCTTAGCTTCCCTGCATCCTTCTCCAGCCATGTACAAATTAGTTCCATTTGCTAAAATGGAAAACTCATTTACCCAAATATTTCCAAATTCAAATACCACCATTGTGTTATCAGTTTTCCAATATGGAAAAGCTTTTAAATATGAAATTTCAAATTTGGAATTTCAAAAATGAAATTTCATGGGAAAAGACATGAAAAATGAGAAGGGATCGAGATACAAAGGAAGGAAAATTCTCAGGGAGAATTTCTATGTGGATCCCTCCCACACATCTTTACCGCACAGCTATCTTCTTTATAAAAAGTGACTACACATAAAAGGACAAAGAACACTTGAAAGTCTAATGATAACTAATTAATTAAATTTATCACAGAGGCCCAGAAGTCTCTGGTCCACACAGATTGCAAATTCAAGACTAAAGGTTACTTAAGGGTTGAGAGACAGTGTAGTAATAAGAGCGGCGGGGCTGTGTCCCCAGCACCCTGGCCGCCTGGATAGCTTATGCCCCGAAATAACAACACAAAAATTGTATTCATTTAAACACTACTTGGCCCTTTAGCTCTAGCCCTTACTAGCTAATTCTGATATCCAGATCAACCCATCTCTAATAATCTGTGAGCACCGGTCTTACCGGAAAGATTCTAGCCTACATCCATCTTGGGTCGGAGCTTCATTGCGTGTGTCTGCCCAGGAGCTGGGCATGGTGTCTCTTCTGAGGCATCTGCTCCCAAGAGGAGAGCTGTCGAGTCTGAGCTCACTTCCTCTTCCTCCCAGCATTCTGTTCTGTTTTCTCCACCCACCTGTCTTCTAACCTATGAGGGCCAGCCAAGCAGTTTCTTTCTTTATTTTTTTTCTCTTTTTTTTCTTATTAAAATTTTTTGCTTTAATTTTTTTTATTGAGAAAAAAAAATTTCCGCCTCCTCCTAGCCTCCCAATCCTCCCCCCTTCCCTCACTCCTCTCCCCTTCCCCCACTCCTCTCCCCCTCCCTCTCCAGTCTGAAGAGCAGTCAGGGTTCCCTGCCAGGTGGAAAGTCCAAAGTCCTCCCCCCTCCATACTGGTCTAGGAAGGAGAACATCCAAACTGGCTAGGCTCCCACAAAGCCAGGACATGAAGTAGGATCAAAACCCAGTGCCATTGTCCTTGGCTTCTCAGCAGCCCTCATTGTCCGCCATATTCAGAGAGTCCGGTTTTATCCCATGCTTTTTCAGTCACAGTCCAGCTGGCCTTGGTGAGCTCCCAATAGATCAGCCCCACTGTTTCCTTGGGTGGGTATACCCCTTGTGGTCCTGACTTCTTTGCTCATGTTCTCCCTCCTTCTGTTCCTCATTGGGACTTTGGGAGCTCAGTCCAGTGCTCCAGTGTAGGTCTCTGTCTCTATCTCCAGCCATCGCCAGATGAAGGTTCTATGGTGATATACAAAATATTCATCAGTATGGCTATAGGATAGGATCATTTCAGGTTCCCTGTCCTCAGCTGCCCCAGGAACTAACTGGGGACCTCGCCTTGGGCACCTGGAAGCACCTCTAGGTCCAAGTCTCTTGCCAACCCTAAGATGACTCCCTTAATTAAGATATGTGCTTCCCTGTTCCCCTATCCAACCTTCCTTTATCCCAATCATCCCATTGCCCCAAGTTCTCCCCATCCTACCCTTCTCACTTTTCTCTCCCTTCCTCCATCAAGACAGTTCCTTGAAAATAGTATTTCAGAAACTTCTCTCTCTCTCTCTCTCTCTCTCTCTCTCTCTCTCTCTCTCTCTGTCTCTCTCTCTCTCTCAGTTCAGTTTGCTTTTGACACCCACCAGAAGAAGCTTTATGAGAGGATGAAGCATCTTTTACACATTTTCATCCTCAGAACCCAACATTGCATATGTGTGTCTACTAAGTACCACATGCACATGTAATTTAAACAACATGAGCTTTTCAATGGTTTACTCAATACTCGGTTTTAAAAAGTGAACGAGTGGGCCATTTTCATCTGTCTGATATAGGATGAAAATTCAGTTGCATTGAACTGCACTTCTGCTTCTCTCTGACTTACCCCTGAGTACCACAGAACTAATGAAAAAAAAATTTAAAGCTTGTGTTTATCTACCTTATGGTGTAAGGAAAACAGTAGTCCTTGGAAAATGTAAAAATCGATTCATTTCCAATTATAGAAGTAACGATAGCTAATATAAACTGAAAGTGAAGCATTATGTTTTCTTAATATTTGGTTATGTTGGCATACAGATGATTTGAGGGTCGTTAAAGTTAAAAGGATAAAAGATAAAAGTGGAAGAAGGTATATTTACTTTTAGTTTCTTAAAATTAATTACGAGACACTCTTAATGGTCTAAAAATACTCAGTGGATTTAAATAGTAAGTTAAATATCTGTGGCAATATAAACATGCTGAGGGGCGATTACAGTAATCAGACTTTCTTATTAGTATAACAGTGGAAAGCTATTCCAGCCAGCAGGTTTTGTCTTTATTATTTAAATGCAACATATAGCTAACTGATAGTACTTTAATCGAGTCTGCAAAAAATATGACAAATGTGGGTTCATTTTGGCTTTATTATTCTAACATAATATCCTAAGCTGAATTTCCATTTTATCATACACCATTTGA